GTGTGTTATTTTTATTGAATTATTGTGCATTAGGTCTCGATATCTCAGTAAACGTAGCGAACAAAATTTTTTTTGTATGTTTAATAAAATATTGGGTGGGTGAGTAGACTAAAATCATCTCTCTTTGTGTTAAAATAGCTTGGCTCACCACTGACCTGACAAGTATAATATAATTTAAAATAAACATGAACATACGTAGGATTAAAACACAGTAAAAAATATTGTGACATTACAGGTAATGATAATTTAAATGTAGGTTTATTTTTTATATTCACAGGGTTAAATTGTTTTCTTCAGTTTATGAAATATATAATATATAACAGGGGCGGCCAAACGGTCGATCGCAGACGATTTCAGAGTCGATCATGTTAAAATTTATTTTTAGGCCACGTGCACGAAAATTAATCGTGGTGGTTATAAACAAATTGTCAATTAGTTTTATCTGTATAGTTTTTATCTTTTATTCTGGGTTATAAAAAATTTTTCCAAAAATGTCGATCTTCAAAGCTGACGTATATTTTTAGTAGATCGTGGCCGAAAAAAATTTTGCTACCTCTGATATATAATATAACCTAATCTTCGAATTTTAAAATTAAATAATGAATAACTCATTCAAATATTTGGATATTATAAGTTAAAGATAAACAAGAGGTATTTAATTAATGGTTCCTAATACTAACAGCATAACTTTTGATTAATTACTTATTTAACATTTAGTATATTTGTTAATAGATGCATAACATTTTAAGACATTTTATTAATTAAAATTATGGAGTAATAATTTCCGTTTACTCTAAAAAAACAAACACGAAACAAATATTTTAAATGTCATATTTTACCGTAGGACACTAATTTAGTAAGAATTATAAACATGTATATATTATTATATTAATATGCAGCTGGCTACATTTTCAATATAATTAATAATAATAATATTGCAAAACAAAATATTTAGGTTAATTAATGGGGTAAGGTCAAATGACTAGTTTTAAATCCTAAAAGACTTGGAATCGGGAGATTTTACGTCTTAAAAGTCAGGAAGATAAGAGATATAAGAAAATACATATTTTAAGTTATATATAAGATCGTATAACTGAATAATAAAAAAAAAAGAGTACAATTTAAACTAATATTCTTAGTATTGATTTATCTTAAATTTTTTATTAATTGTTTACTTTTTTAAAAATAATTATTCGTTATGCTATTTTTCTTTGAAACAACTTAATTAATAATTATTCACTTGTTACCAAGACACAAGTGTAGTAGTTATTATTTTATAATTTTAGTTACTAAAAATAATATGATCATTAGAATAAATTAAAAAAAAACTGTTAGTAGATATATATATATATATATATTTTTATAATTTCTCTATTGTTACTAACGGCGACTTATAGATAACATGCTTTATCTTATTAAGACATGTTCAAAATATAATATCCATATTATGTTAAGATTACTTTAACTTATTATGTATTGTATCAACTAAATGTATTTAGTAACTTTTATTTTAATGCAGATATACGACGGAGTACATAATAAAAAAGTTATAAGTTTTTTACGAAAAAAGGTTAATTTAAGTTATATAATCTTCTACACTAATCTTAAAGATTATTAATTAATCAAAAAATTGTTTTAAATCAATAAATAAGTTTATAATCATTCAAGACAAAAATACTTCGAAGTTGGTTAAAAGAAATACATTTTGTTGAGTTTAAAATAATTATTTATTAGGCAATAGCCTTGACCCATCTTTGACAAGTATTTTTATTATATGGCGATATTTGTCACGAACATGTCTAATAGCTATAAAACATTTTCAAAGAACCACATTAGAACATCCAAAAATAACTTACAAACAACATCGATTATCCAGTTATTAGTTCTTATTATTAATGGATATAAAAAATTCGTACAACACAATTTATATATTTGTTTTAAAAACAATTAACTTGTAATTAGTGTAAATAAAATTATTGTAACCAAATTTAAAAATTTAAAAATAAAAATATAATTCGAAACGTTAACACATTTTTTATACACCATCTTAAAAGATTCAATAGATTTTATCATATATTTATATATTAAATAAATATATTTTACTAAATACTGAATCAAAATACGAAATTTTGTTTTTTGCTCACACTGGATTTTATTTAATAATATAATTTGCAATAATAACTTTATAATCGTTAATCAGGTTATTACCACTAGATGAATTCAATATTCAAAATTATCATTAATAAAATAATAACTTACTCTGTTGATATTTATTCTATTTATATAAATTACTAACTAAATAATAAATATCAATAAAATGGTATTTTAGATAAAAAATAAAATTATTAATAACAAGTATTGTGGGAATTATTTTAAGTTAGATATATGGGTAATTATTATATTTTCTGAATTATTATTATTAGTCATATAGATAATTAAAAATATTATTAGTAACACGTTAAACTATTATTAAAAAAGACGAAATTAAATAATTAATTTTCATTTTTAAAAAATTAATGTGTATTCATTACAAGTATGTTATGTATAAATTATACAGTATAATATAATTATGAAAAATCTATAAAATACTAAAATGTCTGAAACCGAGAAAAAATACTTTGAACCTTTGGAATTTGAATAAATCAAGGATGTCATATGACTGTATTAAGTTTATATATTTTAAAGCATAAATGTTCTCTCAAAAAAGAAAAAAAAAAGTATAATGTAAACAGTAGTAACATAAATCTTTAGAGTGTTTTATATATTATTAATGAAAAATTAAATTGAACATCATCAATAATACCAATTGAAACTTATAATAAATTATTAAATATAATAAATAATTTATATTTTCCAAAATTACTCTTATTGCTCTTATATAACACATGATAACTAAAATGTTTGTCCACAATTAATTAATTTTAAATTATTCTGGTCAATAAGAATAAAATATAAATTTAACTACTGACCTATTACGGACTAATACCCAGAAAAAAAAAGAAATACCACCACCCTCATTAAAAATAGGAACAACGATAAAAGGGCGTATTAGATATTTTGGGTGGAAATTCCACAATGTCAAGAATCGATATTTTCGCATAAAGGCAAGTTTGCGTGCAGTGGTACCACGCCTCAAAACTGACACTTCCTTTTTCCGGTGGAACCTGTAGAACCCTATGCAAGTCTATACCATATCAATTTGTATAATTACTAAGACAAAAATTACGTATTTAACCCCTTCTTGTGAATTAACCATCTAAGACTTCTGATTTAATATGAATATGAATAATAATCATGTACTTTTTTTTTTAAATATTAATGAAAAGGGACTGAATATTCATGGACCAAGTTCTTGTCCTTTATCGTTAATTTGCTCTTTTGACAGGGACATAGGATTATAGTGAAAAATGAGATATAATTCAAACCTTGTATCTATCACTATGCAGTGGCATATTTTCAAATTTTAACTAGATGAGGATCAATTTTTTCTAAAAAGTATAGAATTATATTATTAATAATAAATGATGTAGGTAATATATTTTAATTATATTATAAATAAAAATAAATAAAAATGTCTTTAAAATAATCGAATTTTCATGATTAGAGTTGACGAAATTCCAACTTCAAATAGGTACTAAAGAAAAAAAAAATGTTAACAGACATTTTTAAATTAGAGTAGTAATAATAATTATAATTACTAACTAAATAAGATTGAGTTGAATACGTATTGCATTTTAAGTCTAAAAATAATTTTTTATTTTTAATTATTTAATTTTTATTTTTTAAATAAAAATTTCAAATATATGCTCAAACTTATTGTTTAAATTGTAAACACAAGCTTAATGATACATATTCCATAATTTCCATTATCTCCAAGGCATTAATTAACCTAGATAAATTTATCAGAACCATAAAAATTATATTATCATATATTCTTCATATTCTGCAGAACATTTAGATATCAGAGTTATCCACCATTGAATAAATAAATAATTGAGTTTATTACAACAGAAAAAATTGAAAGTAAAAATAATATAATAATAGTAATAAAAAAATATAAAAATGAAAATAATATATAATATTTTATAGATTCAACTTTACAATTTGTCATTTTTAAATGAATATATTATACATATAAGCAACATACTATACATTAAATTCTGATTTAATTTAACTTTTAAACATTATTTAACAAATTTTTCAAAAAAAAGTAAATAAACAATTTATCATGCAAAAAAAGTGATTATATCAATTGTCTACAAAAAAAATAGTGATATTTTTAAGTATTGCATTCATACCATAGATATGTAAAAATACTTAAATTTATACATCACTACTACTGTTTTTATTTATACTGTATATAAACTAAAAAGTTAGTTAAGTATATATAATATACAAAGGTAAGTTCAGGAAATGCAAATGGTGTTTTTAAAAGAATTTATCGCCTACCTTATTTTCAATATTATTACAATTATAGGAATCCCCACCCTCAGAATAAATTTTAAGGAACACCAACAGTACTGAGAGAATATTTTAATATCACTCGAACACTATAACCTACCTATGTATATAAAAAGATTATCAGTTTCACCAAATTGTTTATGTAATACCTTAAGACGAGTAATTAATAATATACGTAAATATACATAATAATAGTATTAAATGAGTAATAATTTGTTGTATAATTAAGGTATAGAATACTTTGAAAATAAAATAAATAATTAAATGTAAGGCAATACTACTCTTAAATATGTCTTTCAATATATTACATATATTTTCAATATTCAATATATATATTGTTTTAATTTTAGTTCTTACTGTAAAATACTTAAAATGTAAACCTGATATTGCTCACACAAAAGGGTTATTACCCGTTTATCACAAATAAATAATAATAAAAATAAATATTACTATATCATACAATAGAAATTCAAATAATTTATCATTTGTTGAAATATTATGCTTAAACTAGTTATAATATATATTTTTAATAAACTCACCCAAAATAAGAAATCTGTTTAAGGAGTTTTCTACTTTAATCTTGCTTTGAAGTCATTAATATTTAAAGAAACCATATTTTATATGATTTCAACAAATAATATAATTTTAAACCACCTAATTTAAATTTTTTGACTCCAATGAGTTACATTTGAGTTTCTGAAAACAACAATAACAATTTAGTTAATACAACATAAACACAATATTCTATTGAAATTAGTGACAATCATAGACTTTATTACTTTATAACAGTTCATTATATATAGATTAGGTATCAATGGAATGTATAGCATAATAAAATATTTAAATTATAAACATATTAATAATAATTGTATTATTTTTAATGTCATTTACTATACTTATAAATTATATTTAAATATTAGTAATAATTTTAAGAGTATAAACTTTATAAAAATAGATTTTTACTTATTTCACACATATAAAATATTTTGATCTATTATTCTATATCTATGAACAAATAAAATACCTAAGTATGGAAACTTTGTATATTTATATTATAATGGTTGATGATGAACAGTTTATTTGTTGACTTTTCAAATATTTTAACTGATTATGTTATGAAATTATAAACTAGACTTACACCTAAACTTTATATAGGCCCTATATTATACGTCTGATTTTATCAAACTATAACAAATTGAATACTAACATTTAAAAAAAAAATTATTACATTAAAAGAAATAAATAATTTAAATATAAAAACTGCTCATTTACTTTATAAATATTTGCAAACTTATAATTAGGTATAAAATAAGTCTGAACCAGCCTACTATAGCTCAAGTCGGTTAAAATTTACATAAACAATTTTTTTGTAAACCTATTGAAAATGAATTTTATTATTTTTAAAAAATGATTATAATTTTAACAAAAATAAAAAGATATTATTAAATATACATTACATATTATAAACTAGTATTGATTTGATTAAAGTAATAATTAAAATTTAACTTGGAGTAGTTTAGTTTAGTCACTATAAAGGAAAAAAAAATTATTCCTTATAAAATTAAATCTTCTTTTCCCTCTCTAAATTCCAAAAAATCTTTATGTCAAACTTCTAATATATAAGACAGTCATAAAATACAATCTATAGCCTAACAAAATCAGGCCAGTCTATTTGTTTCAATATATTGTACATATAGTTGATATTAATACATAATCTTTGGTATATATCCAATTTTATATGCAAGTAAATAGTACAAGTAAAAATAAACTAACAACTTTTGAAAATTATGATTATATTTCTAATATATCTGAGATAAATTAACAACATCTCATAATTGGTACTTTAAGAAATTTCAGTTGGCTAATTTTTTCAAACTACTTTGTTGCGCTAGCTAATGATGATAAATAAATTAAATTTTAATTTTTTATTTCAAATACTTATTTTTATAAAAAACAAAAAAAATATTTATATTAATTTGATAATTCAGATAAAACCATAAAATATATTTAAATAATTTAAGAGAGTAAATTGACTATATTAAAATTAACATCAAAATTATTAAATTTAAAATAATTATTGCATTTAACAAACTATGTATTTAAAAAGTTATAGAACCTATTAATAGATAACAAGTTAATTTAAAAGTACAATTATTAATTAAACAGATGACATGCAGAACTCCGTTTTCTCCTATAAGTAGTCACCTATATGCGAATTAGGTATTTAATAATTGACACAAAGGCCAACATTACCCATCTTATCAAACTGTAACTTCAATTAATTTAATTTTGTGATGTTTTTATATATGTTATCCTTCCAAACATGGGTGCCAAATGTGAAACAGTAAGATTTAATTCTATACTATAAGTGATATACAAGCAGACAGGGGTGGATAGGCCCATAGGGAAAAAAGGATTTTCCCTGTGGGCCTTCGCCCTATATTATGTCGGTGGCCCCCTTGATACCATTAATTTTTTCATGAAAATTTATTATTTTTTTTTTATAGTTAAATTATTTAAATTAAATTAGGATAAGTAAATATAATACATTTTTTTATAAGCAAATTTTATTTTTCATTTTGGTGGCTCCATTAAAATATTTCCCTGTAACAAAAAAACTACCTATCCACCTCTGCAAGCAGGTATCAAATACAAATAAATATAGTATAATGCAATTTTACAAATCATTAAAAGTTAAAAAACTAACTTTTTGAAATTAATATAAAAATTGTAATAAAACATTTTCTTTTTTTTAATTTAATATTTTTATATAACCTATAAGCTTATAAATATTAGTAATGAACAAAAAGTGTATACGATCACTACATGGGTTAAAAGTTTTCTAGGGATGGCATAATATCTATAAGATCTTTAGTTGTAATCCAATAGCACTTGAAGCCTAAATTTATAGACACTCAGTAAGTTATGAATAATAACAACAAATACAGATTCTTATTTAGGTATGAGCATCTCTCAGTATCGGTAACTTGGGTAGTATAAATGTCATTCCTTATGTCACTGATTCAATTATGTATAGACAGTTATTTATCGTAAACTGTATCAGCTATTATTTTAGCTTATTTCCTAAAATATTCCAGAAACTTGATTAAAAAAATACTATAAATAAAGTGTAGTAAAAAAATATCTTTCATATAGAATAAAAATTTTGAAAGAAAAAAATAAAATAAAACTAAACCAACCATATTCTAGACACAATTATAAAAATAATGTTATAACTCTAATTTCTATTGTTATGAAAATTGTTTCAATTATCAAAATCACAATAACACATATAACATAAGTAATCATCAATTATACACTTAACATATCAAAAATATCACAAACAATTAAGTATTTAGTAAGAAAATTAATAAAAGTATATTAAATAATTTTTTGTTGATTTTATTATAATTTGTAAAACACTTCGATAATTATTATTATTTACCTAGTTAACTTAAATACAATTCTGTTTACATAATTATTATTGTAATCTTGATTTTTATTTATATATATATATATATATATATACTTTTTAGCATATTGTAGTAATAACAACACAATTCTATTCTCACAACATTGCTCACTAATAGTTATTATTCATTTATAATAATAACTCGACGGCAACACTCATACGCGGTGTCCATCTCAATGATTCCCATTCTAGTTTCGAATGCAATCGATAACCTTTAACCATACAATCCCAGAGGTCATGAACACGGTAAGGTCAATTTTTTATTTTTTAAATCGACAAATAATTAAATAATCGTACGTAGAAACGAACGATTAAAACTCACAGATTGATTTCTGACCTCCATCGGATCCGCGGGCACTGCTCACTACGCCCGGCATTACACCAGCACTTGCGATTACGCGATAATACGACGACGTGCCCTCGGTCGGCAGACGCAACGCTGCGACGTTCGTACGCGTGAGAAAAGGGAGCGAAAGTAAATGGTTGATTTTCAAAACAACGTGTCGTCACCACTTATCGTCAACCCGCGTTGCAAAAACATAATAATAATATTTACATTCGAGCGGTAAGATAAACACGAAAAAGAACAGTAGCCGCAGGTAAGCACGGACCGTAACTGGACGGTGTAACGCGGCGGAAGCAGTGTACAATCAGCGATTCGTGTCGACACATGGGACTGGTACGGTTTTCGCGATTTTGATAACGGGATATCACCAAAATTAAATTTCGTGAGATTTGTTGTGCCAGCTTTAGTAAAATAAACATCCCGTAATATAATAATAATAAAAAGTTTTTTACCTAGCCGACGTGGTCAACGTAAGATTACAAAAATCCTTATTTAGAACGAATAAAATACAAAAATATAAAAACCTATTATCAATTATTACTATCAAATCAACTTACCGTCGACACATTTGATTTGGCCGATATCAAATTATAATGTTTTATTAGCGGCGGCGCGACGTTGCAGTTAATAGTGTCCATTGACATATATTATATATATATAAAGGTGGACATTAACTTGGTAAAACGCTAAAGTTAAGTTAAAAAGTTATTTTTTTTTTTGATTTTTTTAATAAAAAATTTAATAGAATTGTTTATTATAATTTAGGAAATAAATCTTTCTAAAGAACGAAGTCATTTTTTATGTGATCTACTTACTAATTAAAAAAAATAGATTAACTTTTTTCAAACTGAGTTAAGTTAATATTTTTTTTCTTATTAACTTATAACTTATCGAGTTAAATTTATGAATTGTTAACTGTTAACATTTAACTTATTGATATTGTGTTCTCTTAACTTAACTCGAGTTAATTATTTTCATTAACTTGCCCACCTTGGTATATATGTATATTAGAGTTAGATGAGTACTGTTTTTTTGGTGTCGACTCGAGTCGAGTTCAAAATTCGAGTACTCGAAAAATGCCGAGTACTTGACGAATGTCGAGTGTAATCAAATATTTGATTTAAGTCGAGTGGAGTCAAATATTTGATTTAGTAAGTCGAGTAAAATCGAGTACTCGTATTTACAAGTACAACACTGTTTTTATCGAATCGAGTACTCGAAAATGTTTACAAAATCGTGTAGGTACTCTTCCAACGCATATATTACACGACCAATGAACAGTGAACTAGAATACAATTTTAGGCGGACAAAAGTCAATTTTGAAATTATCATTAATCGTTTTTCAAATTATGTTATCTTGTTATATACAACCTATTGAATAATATTATTATAGTTCCTCTATTAGGTATAGTATAAATATATTATAGAGATAACCGTATCTTTATAGATAAAATATAAGACGAATATAAATTATTTTGTTACTTGATTATCTATTCTGAGACATTTAACTGTGTAGCGTTGTGAAGTGCTCATTTATTGATTTCAATATTTTTAAATCTTTGTCAAAATGGATATTGATTTAACAGGTAAGTTAAAAATATTAATGTATTTATTAAATCCTAACTTTGAATACTTATTTCAATAGACCTTATAATATAAGCATATTATGCTCTTATTTAAACATATTTTCAATTTTTGAAAGATTGTTAATAAAAGTTAATCCAAATTTATCGTAAACTGACTTATAGGTATAATCAGTTATGTTGTCAGTATTTTAAAAACTATACTTTCATCTGCAGCGACCTACATCTGTAATGACCGTAATTTTTTTTGTTACAGCTTGTTCTAGTAGTGATGGTTTAAGAAATTTTACTCATGAAGATTTATTTACATTTTTACGTAATAGGGATAGTTTAAATCCTACAAATATTGATTCTAGACGATTTTTGCTTCTAATATTTAAATAAAAATATAATGGTCAGAATTGGAAACCTGATAATGAAATGGCTATTGATAAAAAAATACTAAATTTTTGTTTGGTTTTGTCAAAACTATGGGTTAAATCATCACGTGTATTGAAAAGATTTATTGATAATAATACAAAATAGCTAAAAAAAAAAAATTTGTACTGCCTAACACAACTCCACTGCCATTATCATCAGGAGATAAAGTCGTTGAACGACCTTTAAAATTATTTTCTGACTGTAGTGATAGATCTAAAAGCAAAATAATTTTTTTAACTAAAATTTATACCTCACCAGAGCTTATTTTTGTCACTCAAAATAAATTGCAAAAGCATAGTAATAGGTCGTAAGTGAAGAAGATAAAATATGTTTGGCCACTCGTAAAAAATATATTCAAGAACGATTTCGGAATGAAACTGGTTTATTGATTAATGTATTTTTACAAGGTAATTTAAAAGTTTTATTTCATTTAATAAATGCGCACCTTTTTTATTCCATTGTAATATTATATATATAACAAATACTACACAATTTTATAGGGAATGGAACCACTAATGATGGGAACACCATTCGTCGATTTTTCCACAATTATGAACAAACTGCCAATGTAACTAGAATAGATCTAAATCTAATTATAGAATCTGGTGTTATATTGAGAATTCTAGCATGTGGTATGGAAATTGATACCAACCGGTTTGAGAAATATGCAATTGAAACAGCACAACTATATGTAGAATTGTACCCAAGGTACTACATGCCGGTAAGTGTACACAAAATTTTAATTCACGGTGCAGATGTAATTCGATGTGCTATCTTACCAATTGGTAATATATATACATGTTTAGCGTTTATTTTATTTAACTATTATTTACAGGTTTGCTATCAGAAGAGGCACAAGAAGCGCGTAATAAAGATTTTAAAAATATTCGAGAGAATCACACCAGAAAAATATCAAGATTAAAACAAAATGAAGATCTAATACATAAGTTACTAACGTCATCTTACCCATATATATCTAGTATTAGACTTAACCGAAAAAAAAAGTGCAAGCTTGATGAAGCCATGAAATCATTAATTCTAGAAATAAATAATTCAAATGACGAAAGTGACATTGATTCGAACAACTCTAGTTCCGATACTACCTCGAGTACAGACTGAATAAAGAATATTATTATTATTATTATTAAATACACTAATATTAATTAAATAAACATTATGTACTTTATAGTTTATTATATAATAAGTTTAAGATAAAAGTAAAAAGTAAAAAGTAAATATATTCAAATTAAGTGTAACAATTTTTTTTTCAATTCATGTATATAGCAATTATAATTGAATTGTCCTACTAAAATACCGTTCAATAGTGATTATAATTTTTTTATTATTTTTACTGTATTTTTTGAATAATTTACAGTAAGTTTAAGAAAAAAAAAATGTCCGCCTAAATTTGTATTCTAGCCCATTGTTCAATGCGACCATGTTCTGTGCTATGAGTGCGGTAGATCAGGTGCTCATGGCATGCACTTGTGATGTTTATATTTAATTTATAATGTCGTTACTTTTAAGCAGACCGTCATCACACACAGGGCCGTATTTATGGGGAGGGGGCGAGAGGGCCCGAGTCCCCTCCGAAATAAAAACACCATTGTTAAAGATTGTTATTTTTAACATGGATATGTCTTAATGCTGGAGGTTTCCGAAACTTTGTCGCGACACTAAGAATGTTGCTTATGCGATAATATAAAATTTTATATTTATAAAATATGTTTATTCTTTTAAGAAAATATATGGTGAATTTTGACTCTAATAAAAAAATTGTTTATTACATTGTAGTTTTTATACTTTCAAAAAATAATAAATCTATAAAAAAATTGAGTTTCTTATTTCTCTGATGGTTTAAAGACAGTCAAGAAATCTTATAGTGTTAAAGTAATTTTTTTCGTAATAGTGTGCTTCCTTCTTCCCTTCCACCCAAAAATGAAATATATAATCGGTCCCCTCCAAAATGAAAACCTATATACGCCACTGATCACACGAACTCACTGTGGTAAAACTACCGATTACATTAAACGCAATATGCGCAATATGTGGTAAAATGTTAACGCGTCGTTATCGTCCTTTGTACTAACCGTGTAAGAAGTAAAAAAATGAAAATAAACATTCTTAATTGTCGGTTTGTATTATCGTACAAATTGCGTCCATTTTTGTCGTTGATTTAATTTTACTATCCGCGTTTGAACTTCGGAAGAGTTAAGGTCAATTGTAATTAATAATATTAATTAATAATTTATTTATTTAATTAATTAATAATAATTGATTGTAATCGTAATCAAACAACATTTATTAATTATATATTCTTTTTTTTTTTGTTTTATATCACATAAAAATGTCTTGTCTCCGGTTTATTTGTGGTTCGTGTTAGGTATTCCGTCGCTCCAACACTGACATGTAAGTCAAATTTCTTCTTTTTTTTTTATGTGCGAGACTGTAATTTGACATCACAAATTTATAACTCTTATGTTATTGTTGTTTTATTTTTATTATTATTGTTATGTAAATTATTTTACGTTGTTTGTGTATTAGTTGTCTTACTCTTATGCATTTTAATTTTCCATTTCTTTTATTTTTCTCTTTTTTTGTATTAAACTAAAATGTGTAATCTCGTGCGCGTTACCATTTACACGACAGGACCGGCGTTGAGAAATACCAACGGATGCGATCGGATCTCTATAACGGAAGTATGAATTTCCCATGGGGGAGGATGTTCAAACGGACCATCACAATTAGCCATTCCCGCTGCAACCGGTCCACTGGGCAGCACTGCCGGTTGGGAATGTTCTCGACTTTTCTATGGGCGCGCTTCTCGCGGTGGACTCTTATCGCCTGTCGCGGACACCTTTTCTCCAGGCCGGTTCAGGCGACACTTGGTCTGTGAGCGTCCGACCGTCGTGCCGCTGAGTGTGTATCGCGGACGTATTTACGCCGCCTAGTGATCGTCGGTCGCACCCAGAGTCGCGTTTAACGAGGGCAAATTTTTGTGGATCAACATAAAATAAAAAATATATACCTAATTAAAATTTTTCTTGTGTGAATGTATAACTATAATACATATTATTTCTATTACATATATTATTTTTTATTTTGAATTGTAATTTTCTTAAGAGTAGCATATTTTAATTTGCCACGGGGTGGTTACATAGCTTAACGCGGCACTGGTCGCACCGTACGCGTTACCACCGGGTACGAGCGATACGCGTTTTCGCACATCCGATATTTTACGTGCACAGTAATCGTCTTGCCATATGTGCCGTCGTATACGAGTGAGCTACGGCGGAACCTTTGAGCACAGGCATCCTACTGGATGTGTGATGGAGTTTGCCGATTTCTCCAATTTTTAAAAACATTTGTCGGCAGGGCCGACGTGAGGGTAAATGTAATTGTTCCAAGCTGCAATTGAACGTTGTGTGTGTCTACTGGTTTCCATCAATACGGCTGAACGTTGCGGCTGGCATTTATTTTCAGTTTTGTTTAGTCGATATTTAATTGTGCACACACGTGTTATTTATAACTTGTCGTTCACAGATCACTGAAAATGGAATAAGCGATTATAAATAATGATAAAATAATCATATATATATTAAAAGAGGAGAAAGAAAAAAGGAATAGTGTATACTTCAAATATATATAGGAAGCCAATAAGTAATTCTTATTTATTTCCATAGTAAAAAAATATGATGTGGGGGGCTATGCCCCTCTTACCCCCTTAAAATTTCTTAAAAATATAATTTCTCAGTCATCAAATATGAACTATACAATATTATTTATTTTGAATGTAATATAACTCAGTGGTCTATTATGATTTAGTTTAAATTTTGTGCTAGATAAAATGTTACAGCTATGTCTCACATATTACAATTTACAGTGGTGGACACAGGGAGGGGTTTTGGGAGTTCAATCCCCCCCCAAATTAATGGATGATTAATTTCAAACGTAGTTATCCTACTTTATGTACCTTAAAAAAAATGAATTGTTCAAAATACAATTAAAATATGGTAGAAAAAAAATGTTTTGTTAAGAAAAGTGAATTTGTAATAATTTGTAATTTCCAAACGTTCTAAAAGGTATTGGTACTATAACTCAAATTTTTGAAATTCCATGATGGCAATACTTCGTAAAGATAATGCGTGTTTGTAAGTCGGTAAGTAAAAATAAGTAAATATACATAATCGATATGATATTATTTACAATAGTACATTATGATTGACGGTTTCTCTAAATTTTGTGTTGTATGGTCATGTGATAACGATCGAAAATAGTCAATCTATAGTCAATAGTCAATTATTTCAAAATAACGGTAATCAGGCCCGTATTTAGAGAGGGCACATGTCCGGGAGCGTCAAGTCATAGGGGTGGCAAAATATTTTAGCAAAATTAATTTTAAAAATGATGTACCTAATGAAAAAAAAAAATAAAACAATAAAAAAAAGAAAATGGTATGTTGTATTATGTCATAATTTGTTTAATTTGTTAGTTAAAAAAAGTATTAAACGATTTTCATTTATAAGTTATTATATAAAAAATAATATAATAAATGTTTTAAGCCAAAGTGGATAAATTACAAAATCCTGATTATTATAAATTTATTATTATTTACATTATTATTATTATTACTATTATTATCATGATTATTCAATTATACAGTACATTTAAAGTTTAATATTATTTTTTTTTTATTTCATTTTATTCACACAGCAATTATTCCAATAGTACATTTTCATTATACAGCTGTTAAAGCACCCTTATTATCCTTTATAAGAGCTGATAGCAACGACAGTTATATTTTAATAATAAAGAATCTCGATTATGGACGAAATAATAAGTGTTATATTATTATTATTATTATTTTTTTTTGGGGGGGGGGCATAAATAATATGCTCGGGGGCGCCAAATTTTTAAATATGGGCCTAACGGTAATTATTCTTATTTTTTCAACCCCCCCCCCTCGAAATTTTTTTCTGCGACCGCCCCAGACAATATACATTTTCATTTTTATTTATAGCAACTATAAATTATAAAATATTGCATGATAATTGCACATATTGTAAAATAATTTTCAAGTGATACTTAATACATGACGAATTAAAATTAACGATGATAATATAATACAATTCACATGAAACACCTGGGTAAAATTGTTAACTAACAAATGTTAATATATTTATAAAATAAATAAAGAAACTTGATTTTTTTTATTGGGTACACGCATATTCTGAAAAAAATGGAAGTGGGTACACATCGTGTACCCCTGTGTACCCTCCACTACACCACTAATGTATAGATATAATCTAGTGTGGTTATTATCAAATGATTATAATTAACTTAGGAGTTTAGGGCAAAATACAAACATAAAGAAATACGCTTCAAAGTCTCGTTTTGATTCTGAAACGTGCAATTACGACCTCGGGACGGAAGACAGTTTAAATTAGGTAAGGTGGGAAAACACAAGACATATACAAATTTCAAGTACCCATGAGGCCAGTGTTTAAAAGTATCTACCCTAGTGATGGGATAAAATCGAAAAGGTCTCGGTGGTAGAAGGAAATGTCCCTTTATTTTCAAATGTATGAATAAAAAAATGTTGGACGGGTGAAATATGATTTTTTTGTGGAAGCAGCTCACCGTGTCTACGTATAGGCTGAATAATCGTGTGTTGAATGGCCGAATAGACTATTTTTCAGCTACATATGGTGACAGCCTGAATTACCTCGATAATAAGCATATTTTACTGACTCTCGAATGGGATTCGTCTGTCAATCAGGCAAAATGTATATAAAATGTTATGCACAGATGGATTATTGGAGAGAAATAATCACAGTTCCGTTTAAAGAAACCAATGGACTCCTGAACAGGGGCGGATACAGAGGCTCTAAACGGGGGGGGGGGGGGGGTTGCAATTTATTAGTTATAGGCTAAAAAAATATCATCTATTTAAAAAAAAGGTGTTTATATTTTAGATAATGAAGAACTTTATGTATTTATTTAAAAAAAAAACTTATTAATCTTTATAATTGCCGCTAATTATTATATATGATAAATATTATATATAAATAAATTAATAAAATATTTTAAATTATAAAATCTTTTTTTCTATTATTTTTTCACTTTTTCTATCACTTCATCTATGTCAATATGTTGATGTATCTCGATGACAATGTATAATCGCCAATCTAGAAAGTTTTTATTGTAACATGTTGCACCGCAGCCAAGTTTTTAATCTCTTAAGTGCAGAAAAACAAATATGCGATTACTTAATTTACTCGATAATATATCAATGTTGTACTATATTTTTAACACAATATTATCAAAACAAGATGATTTTAATCTGAATGATACGACAGCGACAATCAAATGCAAGCCTCGCAAGTAGCAGTAAAATCATGATTGTATACGGCATGCATAGTTAATTTAAAAATAGATTTATTGATTACTGTTATCGTAAAAGCTGCAGTAGTAAGTAGTAATAGTGAAAAGGGAATAGAATGATAGGTATACATATTTTGATGGCCCAAATTCTAAAAATGAAATATTAATTATAAAAGTCAAATTTAATACTTTTTTTGTTAAACGGGGGGGGGCAACTACCCCCATTATCTCCCCCCCTTGTATCCGCCCCTGATCCTGAAGTTGGCAAAATCTCTTTTTTTCCGCTTGAAAAAATTTATAGTAAATTCCATGACAAAGATGACATTTATTAGTACCTAATAAAATTGAAAATGCAAAGTGAATTTGGTATAATAAATTACACCCAGAACTTAACGAGAAATAGCCTTTTTATGTTTTACATTTCCTACTCTAGATTATTCAAATAGGTACATAAATATTAGGCATTTTTAAGTTTTTTTACAATATTTACAACCTCTATGAAATAATAATACAATGGATTAATGTGATTATGTGACCAAGGATAAAGTATGTAGTGGAAATACAACGAACATAATATGTTGTATATTCGTAGGTAAAAATTGATGGTAGAAATACATTTCTATTTTTTCGATTGTACAATTCATGTTTCTTATAATTCGAATTTAACATAAAAAAATACGTGATAGATATTTTTAAGTAAATTTCACGAAGAGTTCAAATAATTTTTCAATAAAAACATTACGGTCAGAATAATGACAATCGCACGAAACGACGGCTTCGTTAGCAAAATTGCTGTTGTGCGTGTTAAAGTAATCTTCAACTTATGACACTTAATAATACGAATATGTCACTTATGTCCCCCCAAACAAACATTGAAAATCAGTTACTTCATACACATATCGTGAAAAGTGCACATAAAATTCCTAATGCTAACAATAATACTTTAGAAAAACGACCACTCTCATTCTTTAGATGTACGAGAATTCATGAGTTATAAAACGATTAATTCAGTTGAACTATTTTTATTAATGGTTGTTAATGGCAAACAGTCATAGTTGACAAAACGTACATTTTCTTTCATTTTCTTAATATAATTGCCAGAACCACCATGATTCCTATAATTTTTTGAATTTAAATTATTATAGAAATTTTTTTTGGAATTTTAGAATTATTAAAACATCAAATGAGAGTTCAATCGTGCCAACATAATAAAATAAAATATTTTTTAACCATTTTAAAATAATTACTGAGGAAATCTGTTATTTAAACCAGCGGTCGCCAACCTTTTGGACCTCACGAACCACTAAATACATACTCAAAATTCTACAGATCACTTTTAGCTTAAAATAGCTTTTTACATAAATACCGTTAAATAAATTGATAAGGTATTTCTTTTTGGTCAAATTTAACTTGTTATTTTAATTGTTTGCTGCAAATGGATCTATTATCCACATAAAACCATGTCTAGGGTTTTATTTTTTGGGGAAATAACGACAAAAAAAATTCTGTAAGTAATGTTTAAGTTTTTCTGCGAACCATCTAAATATTCTGGCGGACATGGGCTGGCGACCACTGATTTAAACCATATGGGGTTTGATGAGATTTGATAATTTCTAATCACTGTTACTACAATTTAACCCAGGTTATAAGAAAAAAATTTTATTATAATTATTTTTATTCAAACTATTTTAATATTTCAAAGTAGAAACATTACAATACATGAGCAGTATTCAAATATATTACATACAAAATTAATTACAAGAATGGATATCTTTTTTTCGATATATTTTAAATGTAAACATAAATGTATTAAATAAATTGAAAATATAATGAAAAATTGCTAAGACAATGAATAATTACAATGTATATAAATTGCTTTTAAAAAAAATATATTTTATGTAAATACATTTTAAAAAGTTGAGTATTTTTATGATATTTTAAACAGCTTTGCTAGAAAAATTAATACTTTTAAGACTATAAAATGAATACTTTAAATACAATTTGAAAAGTATATTAGTAGGATAAATTTATTAATTTTTTGCAAATAATTTACTTAACTATTGATAAAAATCTGTAACTAAAAATTATCTACTGTTCTTTAAACCCAGTATACACAAGAATTAGAAAATAAATGTACTATTTTATATACTTATACATAAATAAGAAGTTTACTTAATTGTATCTTATATACTCATGTAATTTTAAATATAAAAATTGTAAATTCAAAAAAAGAAAACTCCATACTTGAAAACACTACAAACTAAAAAAAATCTTTTGTTTAATTTAATCATTCAGTTTTATAAGGTACTAATATTATAATTGTTTTTAATTGAAATAAATATTTAATGATTTTTGGGTAGTTATAAAATACAATTACTATATTTTAAATGGGTAATTATCAGTCCATTCACTTAGGTGGTTTCAAAATCTTATTTTGGTAAATTATCATTATTGCCCTTGATACTGAGTAGCTGAATATTGTGGGTTAGGAGTTGTATTTGTTGAATAATACATTGAATGAACTGATGGATTAGTAGGTGGCTTCATCTGTGTTGTAATTTGAGAGTATCCAGATGCTGGTATCTGTGTTGAGTACAGATAAGAGTACTGCGCAGTTGGATAGGATGCTCTCATTGCAGCTTGTGGATAAGTATTTAACCATTTACCTTGATGTCCTATAAAAAGATTTTTTTTGTATTTTTTATAATTAACTATTTATAACATAAAATGTTTATAAACCTTGTGGTGGAATTTGTCCTCCAGAGTATGGATTATGTTGATTCATAGAGCCTTGAGATTGTCCATTAAACAAATTTTGGGGAATTTGGGACTGTTGCTGAACAGGTGGTGTTTGTCTTTGTGGTTGAGATGGAACAATATTTTCTTGAGATGATTCAGCTAAAATACAAATACAAAAAAAAAAAAAAAAATAATATAATTAAATATTTCATAAATTGCATTAATCTTAGTTACTAATAAACATAGAATACATAGTATATATCTATTCAGATGTTATACATCATCTACTGAATACAGTTATTATTTCCGACCTACTTGTTTTTAATAAAATATATGATCTATATTAATAATAGTGGACTTATAAATTGTACAGTGTATTTATATATACATCTTATAAGTAAATTAAAAGAAAATTCATTACAAAAAATTATTTTATTCCAAATAACTAAAATAAGATTGTGACAGACAAAAACCAAAATTAAAAATATATACTGTTTTTAATGAAAAAAAAAATAAAATAAAACAGTTTTGCAGTCAGTACTCTAAAAATAATAACTAAATATTAATTCTTGGAATGTTATTACATAATATGTACTAATATTTACGGATGGTTTTAATTTATACCATCAGGTATAAAACAATAAAAATAATTAATATTGTATTTATTTAATAACTGTATCAAACAAATATAAAAAATATATTAGGCTATTTATAAAGAAATTGCTCATAAATGATGACCAAAAATACTCTTACATTTAACTAGTGATGCTTGAGGAGTTTTTGATCGTTCTTCTTTTGAATTTCGCAATGGATCAAATTCTTTTGTAACCCCATTATCTGTTGGTATTTCTGGTGTTATAACATTTAATGGCTCTTGTTCTAATAAAACAAATGAATAGGAAGACACATAGTTATCGCAAAGCTTTTAATTTTATGTAAATTATTATTACGTATAGGATTTGACATATTGTTTCCTTCATTAATATCCATTGTATCTAATAACCATGTCACAGCATCTCTTATTTCTCGTAATTGTTTCTGAAGTCCTTCAGAATTTAAAGATGCTTTTGATCTTTCTTGATTATTCATAAAAACTTGCAGTTTTAATACTCTACTCGTTTGCAAAGCAAATGACAAATCCTGACTATCAAATACCGTAACCAAATCTCCATCTAAAATTTTATAATAATATAAGTCAAATATACAAATATATAGCTATTAAATATATATAATACATTGTAATATAACTACACATAAAGGTTATCATGATTTTTAATAAAATACATAGAGCATATTTTTTATAGTTAACAATTCATGAAATCGGTTAAAAAAAAAATATAAATTTATAGGATTATTATAACATTTATTATGCATATGGAAATTTAAGTATAGTATTATATTAATGAGATTTTTTCAATGGACTTAAGTAATTTAAAAAAAAGTCCTATTTTATATTAATCTAGAAAAAAAATAATTTCTACCTTCATCTTTATATTTGATTGTGAGATCATCATTTGCAGTTAGTTTTCCATTAAATATCCGTTGCATCATAAGTAATAATTCATCATATGTAATTGATTCATTATGAAGTAATACTTTTCTTATATCTTCACCTAATTGAACCTAAATACATAAAATTATAAAATTTTATAGTTATATTTTAATAATTATTTTAAAACTAAATTATGTTGTTAAAATGACACATTACACGATTATACGCCTAAAAACTAGTGATCAAAGAATGGAGAAATAACTCAATCAGATCAGGTTAGCAAGTGACCAATTAACCCTGCAGTTACCATGTCGAAATATTATTTTAAATTATTTTCCCATGATATGGACTGTACAAAATATTATAATAAGTTTTATAATAAATTTAAAAATATAAAGATTCAAATATATTCACCAATAAGATTCTGTAAGTCCATCACAATGATGACATATATAAATGGATATAGAACAGAATACAAAATGTATCATTATATATAATTATTATAATTAGTATTTTTAGTTAATATGTATTTTTTATATTCTACCTTTGGGCATACATCTACAAATAACTCAATCAGCATACACTGTAATTTATAGTTACAGAACCAGGGTTTGTAAGTTCATGCAAAAGTTCATATCAATCTTGCAAAGTTGTATTTAATGCTAGATTACATAGAAATCTATTTCAACTTACCATGGTAAAAATATGTGAAATCTTATTTTGCATGTTTTTGCAAATTTGGCATATTTATGCATGTTTCTATTTTATCGGGCATATTATACAACATTATATTAGAATCTATCAAGAAATCGAAGTGGAAAATATAAATAAAATTAAAAATATAAATTGTATTATATTTTCTTTAATTATCTTTTAGATACTCGTAGATTTAATGAGTAAATTAATTTCAAAAGTTTCAGATTTAAAATGAATTACCGAAAAAAATAAATACATTGTACCCAGTTTACGAAGGTTCAAGAAAAGTATTCAATAGTATTTAAAATTTATTTTTTTTAATTGTGACATAAAAAAAAAAAAATATAGCTATGAAAAAATAAATCGATAATTTATGTTATTTCAAAAATGATTTATGATTTTTTTAAATAAGCATTTTTAAAGTGCATAATTTTAGACATTTAATGCATATAAATGCATATTTTGTCAATTTTAAGTGCATAAATGCATGCTTATCAGTGGCCTATACAAGGGAGAGGTGCCTAGTTGGCTACAGCCTCCTCCTAAACGAAAAAACTTATTTTAAACATTTATTATATTTTAATGGTGCTTTGTGCTTATTAAGAATTTGTGTCCAACGTCAAATCGTTCTGGGACATTCTGTAAATAAAATGTAGATAAGTACCTACTGTGTCCTGTTAGTAATTCTTAAATAGCAGTGGTAATTTAACTCTGTCCATAGTAGCCCCTCCCAAAAATATTTTCTATATATGCCACTGATGCTTATTTAGGCATTTTTTAGAGCATGAACTTACAAACCCTACTTATAACTGTGTTTATTTGTAATGATTAAAATTTATATTTGTAAAATAGCTAACTTAACTGATGTCTGAATCAGTATTACAATATACAATGATACTGATTAATATAGTTCACTTAAAACAAAATATAATTCAAGATCATAGTTTTAAATAGCCAATAACACTTATTTTCCAAGTGAAAGTATTTGCTTGTGTTTATCATATTTATTTTAATTTACTTGAAAATAATGATAATTCAATTAAAACAATTTATTTTATAAACAGATACATTAAAAATATTACCAGATCATTAATGATATATTGTAAAATCGAAGCTAAAATTTAAAAAAATACTTTATATCACAATTATTTTTTAACATAAACACAAATAAAATAACATTAATTATATACTTAAATAATTTAACACGTTTTATGTAGATTAAAAGGTTTTAAAAGTAAAATGTTTATGTTGGCTTATAGATGCATTTCATACAACAATCAATTCGAAAACTGATGATATTCAATGTATTTAATAGTTTTAATTAAATAGATAAATAATTAATATTATTGTTAAATGAAATAGAAAAAATATAAGTTATATATTATACTTTAACTATTAAAACTTAAAAATTATATGACGCACTAAAAAAATATTTAAGGTTTAACAAAAACACACATACTTTAATGATAACTTTGCCCGCTAAGTCTATGGGTTGAAACGTGGACTTGTTTGATTCCATATTAGTTGAGATAAGTGGAAACGTCTAAGTCTAACATTTAAAAATGTTAAAAACAAACAAAAACAACATTGTCATGGATTAATACTTATCGTACTCAACAAATTATAATTAAAACAAATCGTTTAAACAACATAGTAAGAAAATAATATCATGTATCATATTTACCTCTATAAGTATAATACAAAATTTGGGAAAACGTAGAATATAAATACAAAATGACTAAAATATTTTAATAAAGAAATTATGTAAACATCGAAACAATAAAATAATCAAGCGTAAAAATTTTATTTTTCAGGCAGTTATCACCAAAGAAAAAAAAAATGAACATAACAAAATGGAGTAAAGAAAATCTTAAAAGTGAGTTGGTCACCTTGTTTGCTAAAAAAGAGTTGGTCACAATCACGGTCTTATCTTCTAAAACCATGGTCTCAACATAGACAGAATACTATGTCATAATATGTACCATAGTTAGGGGTACGGTTTAAGATACTGTATAAAACGTGGTTGAGGGCAATAAGTACAAATGGTACCGCAACAAATTAGATAATAGCTATAATAACTATGGCATATATATATATATATATATAATACTGGAATCATTTGGTCAATAGTTAATACTGTGACGATCTTTGCAGTTATGTTAAATATTAAATATTATTGAATAATGTGGAATTCTATTTATCAGTGTTATTTATATTTGTACACAAATAATTATTAATTTTTTATTATTATTTCAAATTCAGATATAAATTCTTTTTCTTTTTCATATCTTAGTATTGACTATTGACATTAAATTTGTGTTATAATTAAGTAATAAACGTCTTAATGATATTATAGAACAACCGTTAAAGTTATCGTACAGTTTTAAACAAACTATTAATTAATCCGTTTGTTATATATTATAATAAAATATGGATTTATAAGATTTCTGTTATACATTTACATTAAAGTTGAATAGAGTTTTTTATTTTATTAATTTTATGATATTACAAACGTGTTGATATTGAAAGACTATGGAGGGCAATCGAGATGAAGCTTCTCGCTGCATTGAATTGACGAAATTATATATTAAAAAAAAAGATTTGGATAATGCATGGAAATTTTCAGTTAAAGCTCATAAATTATTTCCATCAAATGAGACAAGACGTGAGTTCAGATTTATTTATAAAATAACAAAAGAAATTGTTTAATGAATTATTAATATTCCTATCATAATCGTGTGTAAACTTTATTCTTAGGGTGTGTGGCTAATCAAATATGACCCTACTCCACAAAGATATGAATGGTCCTAAAATTAATATACATCTTATTGCATAATAGTTGTAAAGTGTAAAAGTTGTAAGGATTTATAAAAATCTGATAAATATTTAAAAAATCACTATCTACTAAACAATCTCTTAATTTTAAAATGTTAATGTTTGTAGAACGTCATATAGATTATGTTTTTAGAACATTTCTGTTTCATTTTTATGTCTTTATTTTTTTTATGTACGCCTTACTATAGTGTACCATATATATATAATTTATGTTTATTTATAAAATAATTAAATGTATTTTTAGGTTTAATGTTAAAATTGAAGTCTAAGTTAAGAAATCAAAAGTGTCGGACAATGAAGAAAAATCAATCTATGTCTGGTTTGTGAAAAATAAATAATTAATTTTAATTACATATTACTTTATTTTATTTTAATTATTAAAAGATGGTTCTGATGAATCTTATAATGGCGATCATTCTAACTCATCATCAAGTGATGGTTTTACACGACAATCATCAAATCAGCCAAAAAAAAGCTATAAATCAAGTTGGTTGAATAATTTATAAATGTATTATTTATGTAGAGATGTTCATTTTAAAAATTATTTATGAATTTTTATTAGTTACTATTTATTTTTAATTATTTTTGTTGATTTATTCAACGAACATGTATTCGTTAAAACAATTAGTTTTAAATATACAATAAAATAGAATAGAATATATTTTTGAAGCAATAAAATTAATCCAAAAATTGTAAACTTAGCTTAAATAAAAATATTGATGCATTTTTGGTAAAATAGGTATATAGTTTTTTTTTCCTTTGTTAAACACATTTCAGCTAAGCAATTAGGTAAAAAATAATAAATAATTAATTTACAAAATTATAGCTTTTGAAGAAATTAAATAAACTGAAACTATGTTTATTCATGTTGAATTAATGTGTAAATAATGCGAATATGATTTTTTTTTCTTTACTTTCAACTTTTTTATGATTTAATTTATTAAAATTTTCAATATCAAAATTGATGTGGTAGCATATTGTGCTGATCATTACATTCTTATCTTACACCAATATGTCCAAAATTCTCTATGAATATTGTCTGATATTGCATATTTTTTCGTTTAATATTTGTTTTATTTATTACTATGAAAAAAAGTACCGAATGTCAATATTTTATTGAATTTTTAAATATTAGAATTTTAGAAATTAGACTTATGGAAATTTAGAATTTTTAATAATTCAACAAAAAAAAAAAAAATCTAATATTTATATAATTTTTTTTTTTTTTTTATCAGGTACTGCTTATTCATATGAAATGTTTAAAGAAATTAATAAAGATGAATCTTATAATTGTCTTGAAAAAGCAGAACAATGTATAAAAAGGAAAGAGTACGGAATGGCAGAAAAATATGTGCTGAAATCAAAAAAACTTTTTGCCACAACTAGAGCTGATGGTAATTATTATTGTTGAGAAAAAAATTTAAAATATTAATATTATTAACATTTGATAGACATTGTAGTACATAGTATGTTAAACCTCATGTATTCTTTTAATTTTCCCTAATCAGTTATTTTTTTTTTTAGTTATTAATGAGATTTCAATAGTATTATGTTAAATAATATAAAAAAAATTAATAAAGTGAATAAAAAAATATATTAAAATAATTTTAATATTAGTAAATATTTGCTACAATATTTATAAAAAAATTTAAATTAAAAACCTTCTTTAGAACTTCTTCAAGAACTTAAAAAAATACAAGAGGACAACAAGCCTAAATATACAGAAGAACAAGCAAATGTTGTCAGAAAGTAAGTGTTTTCTAGTTATAAGAGGTTGTTTAATTGTTATGTTATTTGATTTATAAATATTAAAATTATAATCATACATGCAAATATGTATAAAATTAACTCACTTTTCAGTATTTTTTATTTGTTAATTCTGGATTTTCTTTTTAAATATCCACGTTCACCCAAACCACTCAGAATTTTCAGGATTTCCAAAATTTAAAATGTTGAGTATTTTAAGTCTAATAATTAATATAAATTTGTTGATTTTCATTCTAGTACTCTCACAAAAAAAAAAAAAAAAAAATCGAGCGAATGTGCAATATTAAAAGCTACTGCTATTTTAATTTCTTTTACTATTTAAGTCAGCAATAATTTAATAATTTGTGACTGATATGTATTGGTATACATTACAGAAATTCTTCATTCGATATGTTTTATATATATATATATGTATCCTTCAATTTTTTTCATATTATACATTTATATTATGATGTGTTTTTAGAGTAAAAAATAGTGAAAATTATTATACAATGTTGGATATAAAATATACTGCAACTGTTCCTGAAATAAAAAAAGCATATAAAAAATTAGCGTTGTTATTACATCCAGATAAAAATCCAGCTCCTGGTTCTGGAGAAGTATTTATTGGTAAGAATTAATTAAACATTTATTATTTCATTTGAATGTAAATTATTTTATTTTTTTATGTTTATCAGTTGTTAGTAATGCTGTTGATACATTAAGTGATTGTAAAAAACGTAGAACGTATGATTTAAGTATAAGGAAACCATCTATTTCTACATCTAGTTATACTAGAAATAATTGTTGTAAGTAGTATGCTAAATTTTATATTTTAATAAAAAGAGAAATTTCCAAATATTAATTTAATTTATTATATTTTTAGTTTATAACCGCTACGAACCACCATATGGTGCACATAGAAACCCATATAAATTTTATCAAAGACCTTGTGATTCTTCTGATGAATTTGAAGATACTGAATATGTTTCTGAAACTGAAGATACCTTTGATTATTATGAATCATTTGAATGAATATTAATTAATGTAATAAAACTAAAATAAAAAGATACAGAAAGAAATGGCTCATACTAGTTTGGTTTAATGTTAAAAATATAATTTATTTGTTGAGTCCTAGAAAGAAAGAATAGTTTTTTTTCTATTTTAACATACTTAGGACTGTTTGTAACTCATCATCCAATAATTAAAGGTATGATTAAAAATAGATAGTACATTTAATTTAATATTATATGGTTTAATATGTAAATTATGAATTTTTGTATTTAATTTACATAATATTGTTTGTTAGAATACTTATAAAGTATAATGACAATAATAGTTTGATTAAAATTTATAACAATCAAATTCTACAAATTTATTTTTCCTAATAATTTTTTTGTCATTTTTTGTTTAAGTAATATCGCCTAATTAATAAACAGTTTCTTCTTCTTTTCACTAGAATTTTCTTTTTAAACAACAGTTTGAAAAAATTTACGAAATTTAAATAAATTAATAAATATTTGGGTGAGTAGTAATCACGTGAATATATAATTATTATTGTTGAAAATTTACATTCGGAAAATAATTTTGTTGAGAAACTTTACTTCAGGATGTTTATAATTTTCAAATAATTTATCTGTTAACTTCCTTAATGGTTTGTTCGTTGATTCATTCTGGGTGAATACTTATAAAATAATAAGTAAATTAATTTCCAATTTTGTGAAGTAATAAGAATTTTTGTCCAAAAAAATTACTCAAAATTATTTTATTAACATTACCACTATTTAAGTCTAGACATTTCACCATTAACAAACCATGAAATCAGTAACCTTTAATACTTATATATGATTAGTGAGTGTGTGTTCATCCTCTAAAAAATCAAGAGGTATGCATGCATTTATGTAGTATAATGTATGAATATATGCTTTTAATGTATTTGAAATATGCATCAATAAAAATTAACGAAAAGTAAATGTATAATTATTTATTTATGATTTCTATTAAAAATGTATAACATTAAATGAAAAGTTCTTAAAATTATGTGAAATTAAAAACTGTTGTTGAACTCTTTGTTAATTTGAAAAATGTGCATATCAAAATATTAGAAACAACTAAGTATTAAAAAATCTGAAAACTTATCAAACAAATGGGCAAGTATCCTGTCTGCATAACTTTCTCATTTTGGATAAATAATCATCATACAGTTCGGAATATTTAACTTAATATATTAAAAAAAAACCTCAAATATGTATTAAAAGAAGAGTAAATATAAAAATATGATAACTATAGTAAAAATAATAAATAAACAAAATTAAATTAGTTATTTAAATTATTCTAGTAATAAATCACATATCTATCTTCAAAAAATAATTTGGATTTTATAGAAAAATATGATAAATGCATTAATATCTGCTCATTTATGATCAAATTGTGAGTTGTGTAAGTTGTGTAAATTGCTACTTCAACATTTTATTTAATGATTTCACTGAAAATAAGTATAAAAATTAGTAAGAAACACTGTACTTATAGAATATATTAAACAAACTATAATAGAAGCATAGTAGTTGTATGTATTAAACTTGTAAAAAATTTGAAATGTTCCGTTCACATGAAATAGATTAGTGTTTCATATTTTTTTTTTATTTTTTTTTTTTTTTAATAAACTGAAATAAGCTTTTCTTTTTAATTAGTTACACATCATATTTGGATAATAAATTTTATTATTTCCATTCATTATCAATTTAAAACAGTTATTATTTTCCGGTGGCTATATATCTTTGTTCTTAGAGGGTGGGGTCAGATTTCGAATTTACAGATGCTGTGGGTTTCAACCCTCCTGTTAACGGTGTCTTCTTGAATTAATATTAATTTATTTGAAAAAAAAAAGTGTATATTTCTGTTAATAATTTTGTATATTATACAATAATTATATATTTATTTTAAGTATTTGACTGTATAATGTTATTTAGTGTATAACAATATTGTTTAAATTGTTATACCAAAATTTAAGGGTAAAATCATGATATAATCAAATTACAAAAACTGAAATTTATATAACTTTAATTTTTTTTTTCAACTGTTATCCTTTCAGGTACAAATCATGATTTAATTTTGCTATTATTCTAATTTATAAATTGTATTAATTTTGATTTATAAAATATCCTGAAACAATTTCTAGAACTACTTCATCTTCAGTAAACATAATAAAATTTGTATTTGAACATGATTATTAATTATTATAAAATTTTTGGTGATTTAACAACTTTTATAATAACATTTTTTTTTTACTTGTTTGTTTTTCATAGATCTTAGAGTGATTGTTAATTATTTTCATGGAATTGAAAACTATTGCTGAAATTTAATCATTAATAATATATACATGTTTTTAAATTAAATTTATTAAATATAAGATAATGTAAGATACAATTCCCTTAAAAAATAAATAAAAATATGTCACTCATGATTTTATATAGCACCTATACAGTATAGAGACTTGAGACAATGTAACATGTCTTCTTTGAGTTTTTTTTAGTTAGTTAATATATCAGTGTATTATATATTAATAGTTAGTTATAAAATAATTTGTTATTAAATATTGTGTACTAATGTTGGTTAGTCTCATGAAAGATAACCATATTTATTATAGATTTGGGAATAAAAATTATTAATGTAATTAATACACCTATTATTATTAACCTTTATGTGTATATTTTGCTATAATTTAAATATATCGAACTGTTGTCAGTTAAATGTTTATATATATTTTACATTTTGATTTATTATTTTATTTTTAAATCTCATTTTTTAGTAACTTATTCCTAAATTATGAAATATTTTTTGGCTATGTTAACATAACTTTTAGCATAATTTAGTCAAATTTAGTTTTTGCCTACCTGTAAAAGGCAGCTAAAAGAGACTGAATGTGAACAGCAGCTTATCCAGTGGTGGATGTAGGTCGAGGCCAAACAGGCTGGTACAGCTGCATATCAAATAGCTGTAGATGGTACTGAAAGTTATCTCAAAGACTACAGTACTGCAATATGGTAGGAGATGAGAAACTACCATATAACAAATCTAGTATTTACAAACTCAATGTAAAAAATTCTGGATACAAAATAGTTTCCCATATGGATGTCCAGGTGGAGACTATCTAGAAAGACACAAAGTGAAGTTACAAAAAAAATTGGTATCTGGAATATAAGATTTCTTGGATGATGTGGGCAATTTGAAAATCTTAAACTGGAAATGATTGACTGAATATTGTCATAAAGTCATAGTGAAAGAATATGACCTGAATGTAGAGATTTTTAGAGTGATGAATATAGATTTGTGCACATAGGTTCAAATGATTCATACACTGGAGTAGATTTCCTGATGGATATACAATGTGGTAAAATAAATTCCTATCTAATAATTATTCAAATATTTATACCAACCACAATGCATGATGTCAATGATGTTGAAGAAGTGTACGGTATATTAATGAAGTTTTAAATATGATAGAATTTGGAGAAAACGTCAATATTTTAGGTATTTAGAATGTGTCAGCAAGAGAACAAAACGATGGATATATAGTAAGAAATTTCGGACTAGGAAAAATAAACGAAAGAGACGAAAAACTCAAACAATTTTTGCTTGTGCTAGCAAACATCTTGTTCAAGAATCATAAACAAAGAAGATATATTTAGAAAGCTCCTGGAGGTATCAAATTAATAACATTATGAAAAAACAAAAATTTAGAAACCAAATTAGGTAAAGTAAATCATATTGCGGAGCAGATATACCAATCATAATCTCTTCATGATATTAGAATTAAAATATTAAAGCATTATAAAGAAAAAAAAGTATAAAGTAATAGAATTTAAAAAAACTAAAAAACGATAAACAAAAATGGAATAATAATAAGAAATGTAAAAACTCACTTATACCACAATACCATAATGTAATATAGTAGAAGCCATGGGCGTCGAAAGTAGGGTGCAAGGGGTGAACTTAAACACCTCTGGATTTAAACAAAAATAATAAAATTAAAAAATGTAGGATGGATGCTATTATTATCATTATCGGATTTTCTAGTAGCAAACATTACTTTTTAGCCATCCAAAAAAACGAAAATAATTTTTGTATTGTCATACAATTGGAAAACGTATTTAACTAAAATAATTTAAGCATTATTTATGGTGTAACATTCAGTAGTAAAAGACGAAGCGAGAGCGATAAGTTTATCAGAAAAAGAAATATTGTGCGTGGGGATAAAAAAGAAAAAGCCACATGAATTAGTATACACGGAACCATCAGTGAAAACGTGTTGGGAACTAAGATAATTGGACAGCATTTAATCATTGAATAGAGATTCATCCGGGATTTTAGGAAGACGTAATAATTACTTAGGTGTGTAAGAAAGAAAATTAGAAGCGACAATGATAACTGGTACAAACAAAAGTGCAACGTATGAAGTGTCATAAAATTGTAGATGGAAACTTGAACTGTAGATCACAGGGAGAAGAATTAGAAAGTCCATGTTATTTTGATTTTTCGTCGTTATCAATGTTATGGCTCTTTATTGTCTGAATGGATGTAGGTACATACAACAAAACAGCGATACTTATGTATGCTTATTGTTCAGTTTTAGTGTGCGTAAATTTGTAAGGTGTTTTGTTATAGAATTTCAAGTCCACTATGTAGAGGCAGACAACTTTGAATTTTTCCGCATCCGAAATACATTTTGTAAGTTATATTCCATGGTGTTCAAAAATGTATTAATCTGTGTTATAATGTACACTTTCCTGCTTAATTCATTTTAAATAGGTACCTATTTTATAATAATTTTTTCTTAAATTTGATTTGATATTATAAAACCAATGATTAAAGTAAATAGGGTACACCATTCTACTCGTACCTATAACAGTGGCGGCTCGTGATGTTCAAATGAATTGTGTGTAATTTAGTAATTATAATGTAAATGTCCATTTATAAAACAAAAAAAATATATTATCATACGTTTTTTTATTGTCTTCATTTTTTTTCTTTTTTGTACAAATTATTTTATTTTATTTCTGCGCTATTTAGTAAATCGATTTACGCTCGAATTATGCATATAGACATTTAGTATATTATATTTATTTATATATTACCCTTTTATGTATATATTTATATTCATGGGCGTAGTCAAGGATGGGGGTTTAACTCCTCGTGGACTCTATACAATTATAAATATTTATTTTTTTTACATACACATATTT